TGGAGACCGCTGCTCTAGCGCTTTCCCAAAAGTCACCACATGGATGAATACGCGATCCATTAAGGTCTCCCAAAAACCTGACTAGACAGATGCAATTTTAATTGTTTAATTAGAAGTGTCATAAATATTTATGGAGATTTATGAGACTTGTCAGTGGACTTTAGAGTTGTGTTATTATGCTCACTTATCTGTGATCATTCACTGTGAGGTGTTTTACTGGTGTTGATAATGCACGAGTAGTTTCAACATGAGGATCTTGTTTCTGCACTGGGCCAGAGGGGCTCCTCTGTGCTACTTAAACATGTTACAATTATCCATTTAATCATTGTCCCATGGGCTTTATCAGAACGTCAGCAGTATTTAGCAATGACAAACGTCAGTCACCAATATGATGAGCTTTTGGTAAATCAAATCAAATCATGGACTTATCTTTGTTGGTTTGTTTTGTTTCATGAATCAAAAGAGCAGAGCATTTCTGGGAGCTCTCCCTTCGTCTCTTTCTTATCTAAACGAGTCGAGTGACCTTACCCCTCCACTCACAGGACCGTAGCTGTGTCCAGATTTATCCGGCTCCTCCAGATATAGCGTAAAGAAATCCGGCCTGGCGGGAAAGAGTTGTTTTACTTAGAATTGAGTCAAAGCAAACATAGTTCACATTTATCTTTTTTATCTTCCTTTTGTGAAAGAACCAACCTTTTATTAGCCGGCAGCTGCAGCCACTCCAGCACAGTGAACACTCTTTCTTCAAACGGCACGGTACTAAAAGAATAAAAACAAATAGAAAGTAGAAGGTCAGCGTAAAAATAGTGATATTGATATTTTTCTACAGAGAGCGCTAACAGTAGTGATCATCACGGCTGTGTATATTCCACCACTGTAAACACAGAACAGCCAGCCTGCTGATGCACAACTTTGAACAACATGCCCGTATCACTGTGAAGTTGACTATCCAAGTTTCTAAATATCTGAATTTCATGAACGTGCTTACATTACCAGTGAGCTTTAGCACTTTTGAAACTAGTCGTGTGTATGTCTGCATCATCAGTGCGTTGACTGCACTGACGCCGGTGGCAGTAACACGTAAGAGGGCCCCGTGTCACCTATTGTAGCCAACCTTTACATGGAGGAAGTGGAAAGGAAGGCT